AAGATATCCCTGTAGAGCTACAGCAAACTGACTAACACCCATTTCCAAAACTAAATGTATTCAAACACCAAAAAAAACCTAGGTGATTTTTTGCATATTTCTAACAAACATTCCAAGAAAAGTACTACTGTGTAAGCCTAAAAAATAAATCAAGCCATGTTAAAATATTTTTCTCTCATGGTTCAATTAATTTCTGTGCTAAGAAACTAAAGTACATCTGTCTTGTAATGAAACAAGACAATCTTCCAAAARCAAATCCAAAATTTGAGGCAAACAYTAACAGCAACTGGCACACAAAACTGTAAGAACAATTCAGGCCTGCCTGGATATCATTATCTCATGATATTGTGACCAAATGGCACAGGGAATGCAATTAGATGGCAGAGAAAGCAATTCTTACAGAATCTTGTATGTTGAAGGTTACTCTAGGCCCAGGGGATGCAGCATCCACACGGATATCTGGGAGGTCTTCGCTGTCTCCCAGTCGAGAGCTGTAAGCAAAACAAAACCAAAAGAGCTTGGTAAATTCTACTGCAGGATTTTAGGGTCATGCAAATGTTTAACTACATAAATAGAAGGTCATACTTAAAATTTTGTTATGGAGGAATATATTAAATCACATTTGAAGCACTTGGTTACATGACAAGGATGGAGGGAGAGAAGAAAAGAGAAGGAAGGTACACATAATTTGGCCACTAGTTAATCTCTGCTTACTTCTTTATGCAAGCTTTTCCATCCTAAATCAACATGTAGAAATGACAGAAGAATAAGATATTTGTAATCTACCACATGGGACAATTATTCACACATGAAAAAGAATCTCCTTTTCTTCTTCTCATCGCAGCAGCCCTTTTAAAAGGCACATGTTTGTAAATAAAGTGTAGAAAACAAGCTTATTACACTATTTTTCCTTATATACATTTCTTCAGTATGTTTTGAAAGCAGGATTTTACAGCAAACCCCAAGTTATTGTACATGTGGAATCTTCTCAGAGATTCAAAAAGATGAGCAAAATGCTTTTTAGAACATGCCTGTCTTCCAAAATGACCTTCTCCTATCCACTTCCACCACAAATTACTGCTGCCTGTAGTAAAAAGACTACATTTCCCCTGCTCCATACTCTGCTGCTGCTACCACAGATCCCAAATTCCCAGCAGCTCACCTTGTTCTGTCCATTCTCTTCAGAGGTGGCCTGCCTGATGCTGAAATGCTCTTAGAGCGGCTGTAGCTGGGTTTGTAGCTGAGACCCCACTTGTCTTTCAAGGAAGCAGCCTAAAACAGAAACAACATTGAAACCCAACAGCTGAGAACACAGAGCAAAACTCTGTCAACCTAAAATGCTACTGAACATTAGTGTGACAGCAAAGTAAAAGGGTTTTTGGGACAAAAGGGCTACAATATTCTCAAAGTAGCTTGATTCTGCTTACCCTCATGCTGGATCTGCGGAGCTTTTTGCGGACATCCCTGCGGATGTCGTTGACAGCCACCGACTCCAGCTGCTGATAGCGCTGAATTTCTTGGTTTATGGTCCCTTCACTTGCTCCTAATTTTCTGCAGATAAAGCATGGTTGAGTTATCTTACAAATATTTTTTCCAGCATCTCAAAAATTTGTGTAGTGAGAATGCTTTCCCTGGGAATTATCCCATTTTCTTTTCTTTTCCAGTACTTCTGACCAGTGCCAAATACAGCTGCAGAAATATTAGATCAAACATTTAACCTCAAATCCAAAGTTCAGATAAAATTCCCCTCTGAATGGTAACAGCAATTTCATTTTAAGTTCAAACAGTAAAACGTGTATGCTCTTCATTATTTAACATGTAATTACTAACCTCTGTATCCCCATTCYAGACAGATCTATTTATAGGAAGTCTGTCTTAGGGAAAAGGGGGAAAAAAMCCCAAAYAAGCCYAACAAACCATGTCCACAAATACCATTTATAAAATTCACAGAAGTTCAGATGACATTTGTGAAATTTGAGATTATTTTTTCTTAAGGGTTTTCTCAAGTGCAGCACAGGAGATTTATCTTGAAAACACCATGTTCAAGATGCCAAAAAAAGTACATTTAAATATTTTTTTCCTCTTTTTCCTAAACTTATTATGATTTCAAAGTAATATATTTTGTAAAAGTAGTCAGTATGATAATACATCAAGAGGGAACTATGATTTTGAATCAATAGGAAACAATTATAATGAGTCATTAAAATGCAGAATCAGAAAAACAGAGACTAATCCAACACTTATGCAACAACCAGAGAGATTTGAGGGAGTATTTGCATATACAGCGTTTTCTTCTGGAATCCAAAAGGACCATTTTTTATTTTTAAATAAAGGCAAAGATTTGCACTTAACCATAACAGTGCCATAAGATGTACAGTAAGAAAATAAAACAAAACCTACTTACTTTAAGTCATCAATGACTTTAGCTTGCTCATTGAGTTCTCTGATATCAACTAAACGTTTCATAAATTTCCTTCCTCGCTGTTCTCCAGTTTGGATACTGGAGGATCCCTGCCGCCGGTGATCAACAATTTCCTGTTTCAAACAAACATTTCATTAATGCCCTCATCAAAAACTGAACACCAGTACGATTTAAACAACAGGCAATGTGAATTTCACACCTTCAAATTTGGACTAGCGCATGCAAAAGAATCAATTCATGTGACCAGGCAGCTGATTGGATTTTTTCCAGTGATCCAAAGCCCATCATTCAGTTAGACACACTGTAACTACTACATACATGTCCCCATGAGCAGGATCTGCCTGCTTTCATTTGTGCTCTGCTAGACTGGAGCAAATCCCGCTTCGCTGAGCCCAAGAGATATTCTACAGGAACAGAGTATCGGTGGGTTGGGGGGCTCAAACCCAGCAGGTGATTTACAATCCTCTGCCCAAATGTGAGCTTGCGTGCATCTCCACCCAAGGAACCTCCACCTGATTTCTGGACAACAAACAGGAACATTAGTGTGCTGGGATAATGTTTCCACCGTTGTCAGGCAAGAGACATTGAGAAACAGCTGTTAAAAAGGTTTTATAGAAAACCAAAAAGCAAGGTCAGTAGCATATTGCATAGAAGTAGGTTTTTTTCTAATTTGCTCACGTTAGTAACTTACTGCCCTGTGAAGGAAACCTAGAAGAAAGGCACAGCTTTCACAATTCAGGCACCTGAGGTTAGGTGCTATGTTTTCAAATCCAGATCGATATTTCCATGTAAGACCAGTAGAAACACGATCTGTGATTTCTTGCCTTTGAAATATGGAGTTAGAAAACACACACAGACATTTCTGCTTTGCAAAAAGACTTGTACAAGCTACAAAGACTCACATGCTGGACTCAAATCAGCACTAAGACCTTTCCATTTGATAGAAGACTTTGTCACATCTTTTCCAGTTAGTAGCACTTATTTTGGTGGATTCACTTACTGCATGTATAGTGGGAGACATGGTGTCAACTTCATCCTCATCTGAGAGGTCAGCTATGTTCACAGAGTTGAGGTCAGCGATGTCATCAATATCCTCCTCTCCTGTCAGCGTTGTGAGGGTGTTGCCCAGTGCATTCAGTCTTTTCCCAATGTTTGGATCCATGTGGACATCAATACCACACATCTTCCACAACACATTCAGGGTCCAGGTTCCAGCACTACTACTTTCTGCGTCAAAAAAATAAAAAAAAAGAGTTTAACCAGTCTTTCCTCTTTGAAAAAATCCCCCATCCTGAATTTTGTACTAATTAGCTAAGGCAGTGTTTGTCAGTTAAAACGAACTGTCTTTTCTGCCCATTCTGAGGAAAACATATTCCACAACTGGAATACTTTGTGGAAATACTTCTCAGCTACAAAGTCAGTATTTCTTTAACAAGTGATATAACACAGGTGGACTTAATAAAAATACATTCCCTTCAGAGCAAGTAAAAAGCATCTCAAGCTTCTGCTCTTTCAACTGCAGCCAAGTATACCATTCCAAAATGGAATTTCTAACAGCAAGAAACGTAACTCATGTCTTTCTGCAGGTACAAATGCTGACCTATTTATTCAAGTCTTGGACAATGATGCTAGAAGATGTTATATGTGTAGTGTGCCTAGTGAATAGCCTGTCTTCCCAAGATTTTTCTGCATCAAAATATAGACTTTGCTCTAAGCACAACTACACAAGATACTGGTTTTCTTTCTAAATGGGGAGTATGGCCAATACAGAGACTGACAGCTATTTCTGAGTGCTCTGAGAATGTCCAGACTACTTAGAATGGGCAGAGAGGGAGACTGAGAAAAAGAGAAGCCTTTTCTGGGAAAGGTGAGAGAGAGAGATGAAAGCTCAAGGTGCAAAGCCTCAGCATGAGAAAGATTTAGCAATCCCTAGGACAGGAAGCAACAGGACAACATTACTATTAGAAAAACTGTTGCTGACTCTTCTCCAACCAATTAAATCAAAACATAGTTAAAGGACTTGAATTTCATATTTTATGAATACTTTATTTATGTAGGACTTGATTTATTAAAACAAGCAAATTACCTGCGGCAGCTTGTCCTGTTGTCCTAGAACAAACTTCATAGGTACCATCTGGCACAACACCTACACAAAGCATATAAAGCAAATACAATGATTAGGCAGCCAGTAAAAGTTACTTTAGAACTCTGGCCTTCCCCAGTCCCACCTTCAATTCTCTTGCTCACTATAAAAATGGTAGGAATTTTAATTTCCATGGAAGGATTTTTGTTAAGTGTTTTTGTTAAGTTTGAGTAAAGTGAATCTGCTTGGTAACATACAAAACCCTACATGCATATTATCATTAATAAATGGCATTTATATCAGCTTAAAATTCCACACAAAAATCTAGACTTTTCACTAGAATTAAAAATACATATAAATTAAAATAACTCATATTAAAAATTGATTGGGATCTTTTGAAATTGTATAAAAGCAATGCATCCAACTCTTCTAACAGCTCGCAGAGAGAAGTTAAATTATTACAGTGAGATATAAAGCAATAAAGTTCATTAATAAAGGAAAACAACAAAGGACTATAACCTTTGAGATCCATATAATTTTGCTTTCAAAAGGCCAAAGCCTTGTTTTTTACTTTTTTTGGGGAAAGTTCAGCAGTTTTTAAAGTCAAGGGGAAAAGTGGATTTATATCTGAAATACCCTTGCCCAGTATGAAATGCCCCCCCACTTACATGCATTCATGACTAGATCTCCTCGTATTTCTGGTTTCCAGTCATCCCAACTTGTCTCAAAGCCATCAGCAAAGCGGATACAGAAGTTTTTAAAATGACCTTTGCTAACTAAAGACTCTGAAGAGCAGGCAGTGATGAGTGTGCTTTCAATAGTCAGGACTAAAGCAGAGCCAGTGTCAAGATCTGCAGAGTGGTTAGACTGGAAAATAAAATCACAGGGAGAATTTACAGTCAGTGCAATGTCAAAACAATATTATACATTTACTAAAGGTCATTTATTTTTCCATATTAGAAAACTGATCCCCTGCTTGTATCTCCTTGTATTTTTCCTTCTGTCCATACAATGTCTTGCAGTGCTGTTTCCTAAATGCAACACCTACATTATAAATATATTAGGGTGCTGGGAATCAAGCTTATCTGGAAAAGCAACAAAAATGCATATTTGATCAAGGACTAGACAATCAAGGGCTGTAATCCATATGGTCCATGACCACAGAACACAAGCCCAGGAACGATTCTTTTCTCCAGGAAGGGTCACACATGATGTGAGTGAACAATGACAACAAGCAGCTTTTATTTTCATTTGACTTTTTGGTGTTTACTTTGACGTGCACAATTACATGCAATCTTAAGTCTACAGACTGACTGATTAATTTCTAGCTCTATATATGAACATCTATAATTATGTTTAGCTGCAAAAAAGCCCACATATTTCCTTTTACAAAATCAAACTTTTTTTAAACACATATCACCAGGTTCTTGTATATGTACCACACACAAATTGTTATTTTAACAGGTTTCCAATAGTCACACTTCTGCTTACCTGGGGTGTGTTTGTGATGGGCAGGCAAATTCCTAAGTCATTGACAGTCAGCTGAAGGAACAGTGTCCCAAAAGCCTGTGCAGAGGTTTGCTGGATTCCAGGCAGCATATCTACCACTTCTTTTGTGGCCATGTGAATATCTTTATGTAAAGCCATTCTCTGCTCATTCCAGTTGTCATACGCCGCCTTGTAGTTCAGCCAGAACAGCACAGCTTGATGAGGAAACCAAAAATGCTTAAATGAAATCAACACTTTAAAAAAAAA